AGCCCCAGCATCCTGCCCTTCTTGTGACATGGGCCCTATGCCCACTCTTCTCCCCCCTAACTTGGGTGCTCTTTAAGTGAGGGTTAGTGAGGTTTAAGGCCCATATAGGGAAATCTGCACCTTCAGAGCTAAAGTTATAAATTGTGTGGGGTTTTTTGGTTTTGTTTTTTGTTTTTTGGTACCGGGGATCAAATTCAGGTCCTTGTGCTTTCCAGGCAGGTGCGGGAACCACTGAGGTAAATCCCTGGCTCAAAATTGTGTTATTTTATCTACTTGCCATGCTGAGGATCAAAGCCAAGCCTTATGTGTGTCATTCAAGGCTCTGCTATGAGCTGCAGCCCTGGCCCCAGGTCCGAGTCTTAATAAACAGATGCAGTCTTGTGAGCACTGCTACAGGGAAGCTATGGAATGTGTCCATCCCCAATTTTGCATTGTTTTGTTTTGAGATAGGATTGCTATGTGGCCCAGGCTGGCCTTGCCCTTCAACTTGTGGCAATTCTCCTGTCAGCCTCCTGCGTGCCAGGGAGTGGAACCTCCTGAGAGCCACTATGTCTGCCTTTACTGCCGTTTTGCTTTTCCTTAATGGCTAATGACACTGGACATCTTTCAATGTGCTGACCTGCCATTTCTATATTCTCTTTGGTAAGATGTCTGTCATGACTTTTGCTCATTTTCTAATTGAATTAATTTGAATTTTCGAATTGAACTTGCTTTTGAATTTTCTATTTACATGATCACATTGTGTATGATCACAATCATGTTGTGTGTAAACAATGATAATTGTTTTCTTTTCTAATATTTATGACTTGTCTCTCGTGTCTTACTTAACTAGCTAACCCACTCCTGAGTGCTGAGACGACAGGCATGTGCCACCACATATGGCATTGATTTTTTAAAAAAATAGTACATTTAGGGCTGGGGATTTAGCTCAGTGGTTTTGCCGCCTGCTGTGCAAAGTGCAAGGACCCGAGTTTGATCCCCGGTACCCCCCCCATAGGACATTTGAAGAAGTATTTAACTGGGATAATATAAGTGTAACTTTTTCTTATTTACTTCTACTGTTTACCCATTTTCTTCAAAGAAAGAACAGAGTCCCTTGGTTAACAGACCCATAAAGAGTTGGAGGATGAAATTAGAAACCATCCAAACAACTTTTTTGATTCAGGGTCTTGCTATGTAACCCATGCTGGTTTCATACTTACTGTGGAGCCCCAGCTCACCTCAAACTTGCAATCTTCCTGCCTCAGCCTCCTGAGTGCTGGGATCACATGTGTGTGCCACCACACCTGCTCCGCACATTTTTCTAACCAGTTTTGTTTGCTCTCAGGTAGTCTGCCATGGATGGACAGCAGGACGCCATGTGTTTGATGGCCTTGCTGGTGGCTTATGGCTCGCAATGGTTCAGACTCAGGCTGAGAGGAGCCTGCGGCAGGTACAAATGCTACTGGCTTTGTGGAAGACACTTCTAGTGTGGCCAAGCCTCCCGTGCAGAGTTTTGCATCTGGTATAGGGGATGCAACAGAAAAGAGGACATGGTGCGGGGACCCCTGACCTTGTGACGAACCCAGGGGCCATCCTCTCCCACTGACTGGGCTCCAGGGGAGCGAGCCAGAATCTTGGCCTGGCCAGAGGCTGCAGTGGCCCAAGAAGGAGCCCTCCCACCACCATCACCCCACCTGGGCACCTTCCCGCCCCTCCTCCCTGTGGCCCTGCTGTGCCCCAGCCACACCAAGTCCCTGGCAGCTGTCCACTGAGGGCAGCTCCGATCTCCCTGACACCCCCATGTCACTCTTCTGGGCTCAGGACCAGTCTACAGCCACCAGTGGACACATCAGCTCACTGGAGAGGAGAGGAGCGAGACCATGTTGTTCCCTCACTCTGAAGAGGCGGAGGCAGCTGGAGGCCTGCTCTGCATGGCCCCTGGGGTGTCAGGGTGGATCCAGCCCTATCTGAACAGGAGCAGAGAGACCCTCGTCCTCAGGTCTGTGCTGGGCCACCTGCAAGGCCACGAGGGCCTGGTCACCTGTGTCCAGTGGTCTACGTTGATGGACAGGACCTTCAGGGTGTGGGATGCTGAGGGCTCAGCCGCCACTTGCAGACCTGCTCACCGCACGGCCAGGCAGTAAGGGCTGCCCAGCGGCCAGCAGCGGTGACTGCGCCCTGCAACTGACTGACCTCCAGATGGGAACCCAGCGACTGAGTGATGGGAGTGACTTCAGATTCACTGCTGTGACGTTTTACCCCAAAGACCACAACGTCTTCTTCTGTGGAGGGCAGGTGAAGCGGTGAGCAGCTCCAGGGCGAGCATGCCCCAGACCCTGACATCCTTTTCCTCCCTGAGGGCTCCGAGCTCCTGAGCAGCCTGGACTCTGCCAATCATGCCAGCATTGCTGGGGACTTCCAGAGCTCTGCCAAAATCTCGCCAGATTTTCCATGAGAGGTGCACCTGCCCCAGCCTGGCCCTGCTCCCACTGGAGCCCGTGTTCCTGGCACAGACCAATGGCAACTACATGGCCCTCTTCTCAGCCATGTGGCCCTGCTGGATGAGTGGATGTGGCACTAGGAAGGGCACAGGTGGAAGGCTATGCCGTGGGCTGTGAGTGCCCCCTCTGTGGTGACCTCCTGGTGATTGGCAGTGCCGATGGCCAGGGGCTCATGTTCAGCTTCCGCACTGCCAGCTGCCCGTGCACACTGCAGGGACACATGCAGGCCTGTGTGGGCACCACCTATCACATTGTGCTTCCCTCTGTTCTTGGCACCTGCTCCTGGGGAGGTGCCGTCAAGACTGGCAGTGACAGAGGCCCGGCCTGGCAGCAATCCTGCTGCCTCAGCCTCCTGAGTGCTGGGATTACAGGCATGGGCCACCAGGCCCATCTTGCTTTTGAGAATTTATCTTGAGGAACTATCTGAGGTAGGGACCAGGATTAATATGCAAGGATGTTCAAGGCTGTAATTCTACTAAAATGGGACAGAACTTCAGCTTCTACCAATGGAGAAATGGCAAAATAATTGATAACACACCCCTAGGATGGACTATAAATAGAAATGGTATAAAAACAGCATGAAGGGGCCAGAAAAATGCAGGCTACAGATATACAGAATGTGCTCAATGCTATCTTTTTTTTTTTTTGTACCGGCGATTGAACTTGGGACCTTGTGCTTGTGAGGCAGGTGCCAGAACCACTGAGCTAAATCCCCAGCCCTGTTTTTCAAATTTTTGACAATCTGCTGTGTCTACAAAGGGAACTTTGTGTTTTCTTTTAAATCAGAAACATAATGGCAGAAGAGAAAACCAGATACAACTAAAATGACCAAAGATTTGGGAATTCTGTTACATGAAGACTGACCAGAATGAACTGAAATTCTACATCTCCTGTGGCAAAGTTTGAGGGAAGTGTTAGAAATGAGCCACAGTGAACTGAGTGCTTGCTATGTGCCAGGGGCAAATAGGTTTATTATCCATACTTTACATAATTTAAAATATTTATTGGTTTTATGAGACAGGGTCTCGCTATGTAGTCCAGGCTGCCCTTGAACTCACTACATAACCCAGGTCAGTCTTGGACTCACAGTGCTCCTCCTGCCTCAGTCTGCTGACTGCTGGGATTACAGGCAAGCAGTGTTTGTGTTTTTTTTGGTACTGGGGATCAAACTCAGGTCCTTGAGCTTTCGAGGCAGGCGGGGGAACCACTGAGCTAAATCCGTGGCCCCAGGCAAGCAGTTTTTAAAAAAGTGATATAATTTTAGTTCCAACTCAGATCTGGTGTCAAATCCGGATCTTGTTTGACAAAATACAAGCAGACTCAAAAAGGATAATAAGCAATTCACAGACAAATCCTGCAGAGGATTTTCTAAAGGCTAAGAGCGTCAGAATAGTTAGGTTTGGTCCAGGGAACAGAGAGCAGGTACAGGCGATATTCCTTTGTCTTTCCTGGAGATTGTCTTTTCTGGGCAATCTGTTTGACTTCCACAATATATAATCCTCAGTGCCAGAAACGAAGAAGTTTCATGATTTACATTGTATGTGTATATACACGCGCACGCGCACGCGCGCGCACACACACACACCTAGCCCTCTGCTGTACCTCAAAAGGAAGTATTTGGCCAGGCACAGTGAAACACTTGTAATCCTAGCATCGAGGCGGCCAGCCTGGACTACACAGTGAGACAGTCTTAACAAACAAAACAACGTCCCTCTACCCCCTCAAACGGGAAGCATTTGGTTTTTTTTTTGTTTGTTTTGTTTTTTGCTGATGCTCGGGATGGAACCCAGGGCCTTTGCAAGCCAGGCAAGAGCTCTACCATTGAGCTCCATCCTCAGCTCAGCAAGTGCTTTTGCAGAATAAAGGACTGCAGAATAGTGGTTCTTGCTAATAGACAATGTGCCTCACAAAACTTCCGGAACTTCAGGCTGTCAATCCCCGAGCACCGTCGCCCCGCCCCGCCCCGTTGCCTCGCAACTTCTAGCTCAGGTATTTCAGGTGTGCATTCTCCGTTGCGTTTAACTGCATCCCATCTTCTGCACCTGAGCCTCCCCCTCCTTCGCGAACGGACCAGTGGCGCCGAGAGTCGGGAGGCGTGACTTTGGGCCATCCTTGGCTGCGAACTCCGGGTGTGACCTTCCGCAAAGCCCCGCTGTCCGCTGACCCGCGCGCCTGGACCTCCGGGTCTCCGGCCGGCGCCCACACCCCCATCTCCCCTGCCTTTCTCTGCGCGCGCCCCAAGCCTACGCCACCGGCGTAGTGGCCGCCGAGTGTGCACGGCACTCCCGTCTCAGAGGTTCGTTTACGCCGGGCGGACGGGGAGGGCGCGATTCCCGAAGGCGGCCTGCGCTGCGAGCGCGCCGCCGTCCCGTAGCCCGGTGCGGCCTTACGCCGCTGACGCAGCGCGCCCAAGATGGCGGTGCGGTCGTCGTCGGGGGTGGCGGCGACAGAGGGGGCGGCGGCCGTGGCGGGAGCGGCGACGGCAGCGGTGAGGGCGGCTGCGGCGCGGGACTTGGGCCGGGGGGAATGAAGCGGCCTCGGCGGGCCAGCGGCGGAGTCGTGTAGCGGAGAAGCGGCTCGCCCCTCTCTGTTTCCCTTGGCCGCGCCGGGGGCGCGCGCGCGCGCGAGGCCGTCCGGAGCAGGCTCCCCACTTCTCGGCTCCCTCGACCCGCACCACATCCGCACCGGGCCCGGAGGATGATGAAGCTCAAGTCGAACCAGACCCGCACCTATGACGGCGACGGCTACAAGAAGCGGGCCGCGTGCCTGTGTTTCCGCAGTGAGAGCGAGGAGGAGGTGAGGCGGGGCGCGGCGGCCGGGCAGGGGTGCGGACGCCCGGCGCGGCGGGAGACTCGGGCGGAGTCTCGTCAGGCGGCCCGAGGGCCCGGGAGCGGTCGGGGCGCGGCGCGGGGTCGTGCCTGTCACCCGGGAGCGGCCGGCGCGGTAGTGGCTGGCACCCGCGTGTCCGCGGCTCTGACCCGGGAAGGGCAGCGCCGCGCGTGTCATCCTGCACACGTGTGCGGGCCGCGGTGCACAGGCGCGGGCGGCCTTTGTGCCTCCTAGGCGGCGGGTTTGGGGGTGGCCCGGGGATGGTGTGAGCCTCCGAGCTCGAGGCGCGTGTGTGCGGCGAAGGGGCCCGGGAAATTTAGGGCGCTCTGCACCCGCCCGAGCCAGCTGTTCGCTTTACAGAGCGCTCCTTAGCCCTTATGGGGTGGCCCCGAGAAGAAAGGACATCTGATTTTTAAAAATTGTTTTTTTTGTTTGTTTGTTTTGTGGACTGAAAATTTTTCATCTCCCTTGGGAAGATCCAAAGCGGTATTTTCAGATCTTTGCCCTGGCATTCTGCCCTTGCCGTGTGATGAAGACCCTTAGGATTGAAACTGCTAGAAAATCAGAATTGCTAGGAAAATAAAAATGTTTTAGAAGCAGGTTTTGTTTTTTTTTCTTTTTCTCTTCTTAGGTTACCCAAGTAAGTAAATAAATCAGTCTCGGCCTCCCAAAGCCATTTCTGCGGCGATGAAGGGAATTTAGAGAAGGCACATGTTCTGTAAATCCACAAAGAATCGCTGCTCTGGAAATTCATAAGATGCCTGCGAGAACGCGTTTTTCCCGCGTGCCTGGTGGTAAAATGGCAGTTACACTGCAGACAATGAAAGACAGTGAAATTCAATGTGTTGTGCATTCCGGCGTTCAGCAGTGGGCTCTGGTGGCGGGCGGGGCCGCACAGTGCAGTGCTTCGTGTTGAAATGGGGGAAAGGAACTTGACCCGTTAGTTATGAAAAAAAGCTGTGATGAAAGAGACAGACTCGACTGCCAGGGGTTGCTGTCCACAGATATTTAGAAGGAAGTGGAAATTTAAATTAATGCCTGAAGAAAATTGGCAAAGCGCTATTTGTGCTGGTGAGTGTTGATGGATCACATGTGTGGTCTTTTGCATAAAAATAGAAGGAAAGATTTTTGGAAACGTATACTTTGTGTCCTAGCATATAAAAGGCCCCCCCAAAGAGATGCATTGTAATAGTGATACTAAATAGGGCCATTTGTAAATTATGTGCTGTTTTATTTTTAAATTTTATTTATTTTTTGGTACCGGGGATTGAACGCGGGTCCTTGTGCTTTTGGGGCAGGCGGCGGAACTATGTGCTGTTTTAGAAAACGTATTTCAGTAAAATAAAGTTATTGGTATTGGTTTCTGTCCTAGAGGCTTTGTTTTCTTCATTGTATCACATTATGGTAAATCAGATGTGCGCGTAGGCTGTTAACTTGAGGGAAAACTAGCACAATAACATGTCTTGTTGCACTTCTATGGTTAAGGCTGAGAGCACCGCAATTATATGTAGAAAGCTGTATAACTTAGCCATATGAATGATGCAAACCTTTTTGTTTAAGAAAAATCATTCTAGAAATTGAAAATATGTATTTGAATAAATTCGAATCCTTTTTGGAGCATAAGCAAAGATTTGATTCTCCATTTTCTTGTTACAGGTTTTATTTTGTACTGACATTAGCAGTGTTAATGTTGTTACCCAGCTGCCTTTTGCAAGTCAGACTACGCCTACAGTTTCGTTCTAGGTGTTTAAAATTTATTTATTTATTTATTTATTTGTGTTTTTTTGAGATAGGGTCTTGCTATGTAGTTCAGGCTGGCCTTGAACTCACCATATATCCCAGGCTGGCCTCAAACTTGGGGTGATCCTCCTGCCTCAGCCTCCCCAAGTGCTAGGATTACAAGTGTGTACCACCACGCCCGGCTGTGTACTTAAAATTTAAAACAGTTAAAAGAAAATAACTTTTTTTTTTTTTGTACTGGGGATTGAACCCAAGGCCTTTGCACTGAGCCACATCCCCAGGCCTTTTTTATTTCTGAGATGGTTTCCCTGAGTTGCCAAGCTGCCCAGGCTGGGCTCAAATTTGAAATCCTCTTGCCTCATCCTCCCAGAAGAAAGACATTTTTGAAATGGATTAAAACATTTGCTTAATTATGGTGTTTCCTTTAGTGAGTTTCTTTTTGGACATTGGCTAATGAGCAGAAGAATCATGTAAATCATTCATTACAGATTCACTGGGAGTTACAGCTAAAGCCTGGGAAGAACAAGATTAATGAAGTGGGCCCATTTTAGACTCATTCAATTCAGTTGGATAAGTGTGTTTGAAGTAAAGAGCCTACTGTGGATGCAGCATTCTGTTACGTGGTATTAAAAACCCCTCCCTGCTCAAAGCAGTTTAAATGGGGTCCTTTAATTGGGAGGGATTTGGAGCACAGAATAATCTCTAGGGCACCGTTGGGCTTTCAGATTATATAATTGTGTTGGAAGGGAAGTAATTTGTTAGTTCCAGGCGAACTTTTATGCTCTCAGTAGACGCGCCAGAGACTGGAAGTAGTAGCTGACACACATTGTGGGAAAGAGAAATTCAAACTTAATAGGACATTCAACTCAATTTTATTTTTTAATGGGGACTAATGGCTTTAATCAAGATAGAATAGTTTACAGAATGTTATTTACATAGTACAATAGTAAAGTAAATATAAACAGAACCTTGATTTATAAATGCAGCCAGCATCCAGAGACATCCAGTGTAAAGAGGAGATGAAAATATTTGAAGATAATTGACTATGAATCAAACCCTCTGGCATTCTCTTTTGTCGGCTCCGGAAAGCTTTATTCACAAGCCAGCAGCAAGAGCAGCGGAATTCCGAACCAGCTGAGGTGTGAGCGTGAGCTTGGAGGTTCACACAGCACTGAGTGGTGGCGTCTCTGAGCGTGACACAGGAGACCAGACGCGCTTTGGTTTGTAGAGGCAGAAGCAGAAGGACGGATCCAGCAGCATGATGAAAATTTCTGTGTTCCAAAATTCTGGCTTCTTTTCCTCTTGATAAACTAAAAATAACCAGAAAAACTCACCTCTTACACATTTTACTAATTGTCGTTAACATTTGATACATTTTTGAGTTTTGAGCATTTGATAATGGCTGTGTTTACTGTAGTACTGTAAAGCTGCAGTGCAGTGGGCAGGCTCTCCATACTCCATGTCAGCCAGCCGAGGGTCAGGGTCCCCCACCATGGCCTCCCAGGAGCTGAATCGGGGGCCTACAGGGAGTCGGTTGTGTGTATTCCCGTGTCTGTTTATGTTTATTGTACTTGTTACTGTAGTTATGTAATTTAAACATGACACAAACCTCTCAAGTTTGAGTTCTCAAAGGATAGTTTTGGGAGAAGTATTTCAGATAATTTGGACAGACTGAATGCAAGTCACTAAGAAATTACTGCTTGGTTATGGACAAACTGGAAAAGATTGGGGAGGGAAATCTTAAAGTCTAGAAGAATTTTGCACATAGATCACTTCATGAATGCTTTCAGAGTTTTGTTCTTTGTGGAAACTAGGACTGGAAAGCAGGATTTCACTTATGTACATAGTGTGTGAAAAAAGACAACTTGTGTCGGGTGTGGTGGCGCACACCTGTAATACCAGCACCCGGGAGGCTGAGGTTGGAAGGTGGCAAGATTGAGCCCAGCTAAGCCCAGCTTAGTGAGACCCTGTCTGAAAATACCATAGTCACCAAAGACTATGGATGCAGTTTTGTGCAAAGGCACTAGGCTGAGACCCCAGTACCCTACCCCCTCAAAAGAGAGAGAGGAAGCGTAAAGCATAAAACTTGCAAGTTTTCTTTAGAGCTTTGCTGCTGAGGTTCTCATGTTAGGCTTCCCTCTTGAGTTCACCAGGGTGGACGAGGAGCTGATGGAGGCTGAAGAGCCTCTGTGAGCAGAGACTCTGGTGGCCGAGTGTTTGTCTCTGAGGTGCTCCAAGGACGTCAGTGTGGAGCACACCTTGTGGCAGGCTCTGGAGAGGGAGGAAGGCGCAGGTGCAGCCTGGGCGTTACCATAGTGAAGGTGGCCCGGGCGCAGGGCTGGCTAGGGCCCTGCCAGTCTCACTGCCTTGGGAGATCACAGAGCCTCGTGGACGCGGTCACCTCACTGGACATCCCTGCTCTTCATTTTGAGAGCTTTCCTGGAGGGTTTTCTCTCTTTGATTTGCTTCCCTGTCTGCCTGTCGGAGATCAGTCAGTCCGTCCTGTCTCTCATCACACCCTTTTCCACTCCTTCCCGAGATGGCGAGATTCTGGTCTGAAGTCAAATTGCCGTCTCTATCCTTTTTTTTTTTTGGTACCGGGGATCAAACTCGGGACTTCCCGCTTGCAAGGCAGGCAGCGGAACCACTGAGCTAAATCCCCGGCCCTCTATCCTTTTTTTTTTAAACCACTCCTTGCCTGATCCTACCTTTTTGCTTTTAGCTATTTCTCATTTCTCAGTAAAAAAATAGTGTAGTATACCTACTGTTTGCAAAGCGATTTATGTCTTCATAGCCTAGTGCAAAAGAGAAGGGCCCTTATTCAGGATGCATTTATTTCTTCTGCAGCATACTTCATTTATTTTGTTTTGTGGTACTGGGGCTTGAACCCAGGGCTTTCGCACTGAACTACATCCCAGTCCTTTTTTACTTTCTAATGTTGAGGCACAGTCTCACAAAGTTGCTAAATTGGCCAGGCAGGGCTCAAACTTGTGATCCACTGCCTCAGCCTCCCAGAGTGCTGGAACTACTAAGCTCTGTGGTCCCCATGAATCCGACCCCTCCACCCTGGCCTCTCCCTCTGGCCTGCCTGGCGATCTCACTCCTGTGGTTGTCCCTTCTTTCCAGGACCATCACACTTTTCTCAGTTTATCATTCTCATTTTCTTAAGATGGGTGGCCATAACGTCTCTCATCTTGTGAAAAATAAGAAATAAAAAATTTCTCTGG